TTCTATAGATGGACACATAAAGAAATGAAAAATTACATGTATGTGCTAACTTTCTAATAACTTTGTTACATTTATGATAAAGTAGATTAAACACATTTATGTCGGCCTCGGCTCATAGTTCTTGTCTTTAAATGAACTTTGTGTGTTTCAGGTCCTGCACTCTCAAAGACTGAATGAACCAGCATTGCAGCCATGGGTCACTGTGAGCATCACAGGGAAGGTTGAAGCCGCCCACTGCACCTGTAAGGCCGGAGTCGCAAAGACCTGCACCCATGTCACTGCTCTTCTGTTTAAAGTAGAAGCAACAGTGCGGATCATGGCACAAGGACTGTTACAGATGAACCTGCATGCTGGGTTTTGCTGGGTAATGTGACCAAGATACAGCCAGAGGTTGGCCGTAAGATAGACTTCTCCTCTTCAGCTGCCCACAAAAATGCTCTTGATCAAAACATAAACAGACCATCTGTAGTGACAGGTAAAAGGAGCCGTCCTCAAAAAAGAAAAATCACACCTGCTACTGTGGAGGAGTTGTCACTGCTATAATGCCATAATGTTTTATCTAGGGGTCTAGATTTATGCCTGTAGTGCACTGCCGTGTAAATAATTTGCATTTACTGAATATGTACTGACTGAGTCCCACTGTTCAAAAATTGAATAAAGAAACAAACTAATTTTGCCTTTTTTTTTCATTATTAAAACCACTTTATAGAACATCACATCAGGTACAGTGTAGAATCCATATCATTTACTGTTTACAAGTGACAAAATGTTTACATAAAATCATGGCAGTATTTACATGATATCACCCACTACTAACATTACTTTAATTACTGTATCTTTTGAAAAAATACAGCAATTTATACAGCAAAAGACTTAAGAATATTTAACAGGAGCAGGTTTCATTGTTCCCTGGTTTTATTATCACACTGTTCACCAAACCTTCACCATCTTATCCTGAAGGGTCACCTCTTCACCCTCACATGGAAGAAGTAATCTGATTGGCATGGTGGTTTGTTTGAAGCAGGTCCCTTGTGTAGCGCTGGAACTCAGTCACGATGTTTCATCCATTTCATAGGCTGGTTTGCTGCAATAAATGCCAAATAATTAGCATCTCTATAAATAGAAGGTAGTTCTGCAAAATCACTCAGTAGGATGTTTGTTCTTATTTGCTATGAGCTCAGAGTGCATCGAAAATAAAACTAA